GAGCGCATGGCAACCGTAAAAAAAAACCCAAACCCCTAATTAAAACCCTTTGCTCCAAATGCATTCATACAACTATTCAGCCTGCTCCAGCTTGGGGTGGTCCCGGACCCAGGCGTTGAACTCGCGAACCGCATCTCCGAAGCCTGGAGTCTAGGCAGCCCAAGTTACGCCACATGGCCTATGGATAAGAGTTTTAGTTACTTGCAACAGAGCAAGGAACACCAGGACATTCAGGGCTCAGCGTAGAGGGCCGAAAATTGATGTCTCAAGTTGGTTTTGCTTTATGTGCTTAAGCTAAAGGTTTGGCCTATGTGTTGTTATCTATCATGCAGGAGCGAGCCGAACTGATGAGAGCACGAGCGAGGTGGCCTTACATATGGCTCTACTTCGGCTTCCCTCTCATACAGTCTTTCCCACATTGCACCGCGACGAAGGGGTGTGCTTGCAATGCATATGGAATCGCAAGGCGCACAGCAAAGGGGCTTCAACACATGTCGCTACTTGGGTTTCCCCCTCTGGTTGTGTCCTTCTGGCCCTTGTACACTAACTTCTGAACCCAAACCCTTCCCCTTCGGTAGCTATGATCCTAGAGGGCACTAGTGATATCTCTAGTTTTTCCGTTGGAGTCCTCAAAAGCTCCACGCAAACCCAGTTTCTGTTATGTTTTCTAGCTGCTTTTCCATACGACACTCCAGCATTCAGACTACAAGTTAAAGCAGGTAGCCTGCACTAGAATTGTGTCAGGAATGTAGGACCACAAAATTGGCAAATATCCTCCCAAACCCCTTAATACAGAACTGGCCTCGGCGAGCAGGCTGGGTGTCATAGGTCTCGGACCTGCAGAATTCTGTGCTCCGTAAGAAGGTCTCCCATACTGCAAGCCCTTTGGTTTCCCAAGAGTCCGGCGGGTTGCCCTGTTTCAACAAAATAGCTCGGTACATGTGGGGTTCCGCGGCTCTTGCTGTGCAATAACTGATCGCAAGCTACAAGCGTCGTGTGTTGAATACATGCATTGTATGTTGAATCTATATCCTGCTGATAGTCTAGGCCTATCCCCTCTCTTGGCGATGGCTCCTTAGAAATCTTGGGGCTCAGGACCGTCCACCAGTCACAGGCCGTGTAAGGGAAGGCCGTGGTGTCAAAGCATGTGCATCACCCTTCAGTCACGCCTACCCAAATTATGTATCCTCGAAACGAAAGCCCAGCAATTGGATGCCAAGGCACAGCATCGGGTAGCCGACGTAGAGCGTGTTGTCCTAGAGCTCTGCTATGAGATGTTCCAAGATTCCCTCAAACATCAAGAGTGATTACTGCCTACGCCAAAAGTTCTGAAGCGCAGAAACCCTTCACACAGCAAGCGCTTGCCAACAAGCCTTAGGGGTGTCTTTTTGACGGCATGTTCAGCGCAAGGTCTGCACCCAGGGGTGCGCCTTGCTTTGCAACAGCAACTACACACGTATGAAAAACAAGTTAATTAGCAAGGAATCAGTGAAGGCCGATCCAAAGTCCGGGCTCCTGTCCGCTATAGCAAGCGTCTCTGCAGCAATTTATGGTGCAGCAGCCCTAAGCGAAATCATCGGATCTCGGCAAATCTATCATCGCTAGAAGCCCTTTCAACCGAGCTACTTCACAGTAACTTGCTCAGGCGAGCGTCCGCAATGATCATCACATCCTTAGCCAGAAGGTCGCGCTCCATGAGGGTCTCCACATAGGCCTTGTACCTGGGATGGCTCAAAAAGTAACTGCGCAAATAGCACTTCCTTCTAGGCAACCTCTGGCGAATGGCAAAACCGCAACGGGCACCCCAAGAAACCCCAAGCCGCGAGTTCACAACATGCCCTCCAGTGCATCCAAATGATTTCTACATATGACACCTGCTTGGAGGGTTAGGTGCAGCATGCAGCTTTCCTCAGCTATATGGAGCCTTGTAGCCTTCCGACATAAGGCGTGGCGTAAGAATACCCCGCAGTGTTGCGTACCGCTCCGAAGATGTATTCAGACTCTCAATTGGTCTTCTGCCTTACTTTAAGAAACATTCCCAAAATGTGGGGACCCCAATATAGACCCCAAAATACTACAGTCCTTATTCTGGGGACCCCTAAAAAAGGTACCCCCAATTTTGGGAAACCTTTATTTGGGTCTTCTGCCTTTTTTTGTGAAACATCTCTCCACCATCCACTACCAGCCACCCTGCAGCCCATGAGCTCAGCCTTGTTAGCGTCGATGAATACCTGGCACAAGGCACCACTGCCCTTTCACTGGGGCTTTAGATATTGGCTCCATCTACAAAACATACTTTAAGCTATAAACTACCAAAGTCGTCAAGCTTTTGAGAGGGGCAGCAAAGCAAACACAGGTGAAAGAATGCTTAAGGGGACTTTACTACTGGTAAGCCCTACAGGCTTTAAACACTAGCTTCCATTCCTAAACCTCCATATCCCTTCGACCCCTTTTGGGGGACCTAAGCCCCAATCTCTTCGGTTGGGCCCCCAACCACCATGTAATAGTGACCACAAGAGATGTTGGCAATTATCTTAGGGCATCCATATGTTCCTAGTATACCACTATTGGTGGGTGGGGGCCTAAACCTAAACCCTAAGCCCCTGAACCCTTAACCTTACATCCCTTCCCCTAAACCCTAAACCCTATGTTTTACCTCTTCAATCCCCTGAAAAAAGGCTGGGAGCCAGGTCATACTTCCCTTCGATGGTCTGGAGCGAGTCCAGAGCCGGGCCCACCACGATCTCGTGCTTAGCACCTACAGTACTAAGGACAAAGGGTTTAGGCTTAGGATTGAAGATTTAGGGTTTAGGGCTTTGAGGGTTTAGGACTTATGCTTCGTCATCCCTCAAAGGCACTCGCCCGGATTTAGAGCTTAGGATTCCCTACGCTGAGGCGCACTTTTGATGTGTTGAAGTCTGTGGGAGAAATGGCCGGGGCCTAGTATCTAGTATTATTCGTGCATCCCTGCAACAATGTGGCAGCAAGGCATAGACATCCTATACGGTGGCTGGACGTACTTCTGCGTCCTCTGAATCTTGTTAACTACTGCAAGACGCGAAGCTGTGAAGTTTAGATATGACCCCTTGCAACTGTCGTGCCTTTACCCCTGAAGCGATCTGCACTACTCACAAACCTTAGCAGCTAAGCATGTTGAGCACACCTCTACCAAACGTAGACTTCACGAACAAAAGTTAAAGCCTTCACTTCAGATCCTAGAACCCAATCCAGCCGGAAAACAAACACCAGAAATCCCAAGCCACCTCTACCCTATGTCAAGAATCTGGTGATAGTCCGGATTGTTGAGTAAAGCCTACTAAACCTCCATAAATCCTTACAAGCCCTTGTTCCAAGACCATCCCTGAACACGATTTCAGCCGGAAATCCCTCCGGAAAGTCTTTCGAGACATCTTCGACCCAGGTCTTCAGGTAGGGGTCGATGTCCAGAGATGTGATCTTGCCTTGTTTAAGGCTGCAGTGCGTTAATGATTGTTGGAACTTGTTTGGGGATTCCGAATGGTGCAAGCTGGCCTGCACGTACGACAAATCCTGAGCTCCACATTCTTCGCCTGCCGAACCTCTTGGATTCTGCCATCTTGAAGCCCTGAAACTCCTAAACTTCTTGACGTCAGAGGTACAGCCCGCTACGCCACTCGGTGAAGCGGAGGAACATACAAATCCATGTCAAATGCAGCCAGAAAACATTTGTGCTCCCTGTTATATGGAGCACAAAGCAACTCTTACCAAACCATGTAAACTGCTTTCAAAACAGGTTCCAGTTGCCATCTGCAGGCAGGGCCTCTGCGATAGCCATGGCGCCGTACCCTCGGCCAAAGCCATATTCAGGGTTTAGGGTTTGAAAAAAATATACTAAACATCCTGCATGGCCCAAAGTACTTTACATCTTGGGAATTACATTCAAGTATTCAACAATCAGGTTTTGGGAATTCCAGCTTTGATTCGTTGTACATTGGCAGGTGACAGGGGTTTGGAGAGTAACTAAGCGACCAGTTTTTTTCTGAGTTCCATCAGAGAGCTTTTGATGGCTCCGGAACCCGTACGCAGCTTAGGACCTTCGCTAAACCCTAAACCCTTAGCATAACTAGCTTTGTCCTGCCGAGTTGCAGCAAGGGCTCTGAATAGCTGAGGGCGTATTGTACGACTTCATGTTGTTTCGATGACTACCATAAGATGACCAGTGGCAACATCAACATCCAAGATCCCTAAAAGGAGTGTCTGGAATGTCAGGAAGCCACAACTGCAGCCCCTCGCTCATGAGAAAGGGAGCCAATGATGCTTTCTGTGTGCGCCATGAGCACAAACTCTGTGCCCTCTTTCTTTCATGCGAACAATGGAGCGGGCGCTAGTCTCTGGGCCCCCTCTCTCTCTCTCTCCCTCCCTCTCTTCATCTGTGTCTCTGTCGCTCTGACTGCACCATTTTACCTTTGTTCCCCAAAATACCACAAACTTTTACACCGCTCCGTCCCTTGATCAAACACAAAACCCCAGACAAGCCCGAAGCAGTCTTTTGGGGTGTCCATTTGGGGTATTGTGTTTGGGGGGTGGGAGTGTGGCTTCAACACCTATGCGAGACACCGAGTAAATGACAACCAGCAAGCTTATGTCCCAGAATGTCCCAGGACTGTTAGCTGTTAGCTTGCTCCCTAGCCACACCATTAAAGCTCAGGGGTTGATGCGCACTCTGGCCAAATACAGGCGTCGTGACGAGTTCTTGCTCATGCCCTTCTGAGATGTTCTAAACATTTGATTGGACAGCAAAAACACTTTGAACTAACTGTCTGAATACTGTTCAAAAAACCGCAGGAGGCCAAATTACAGAGCAGTGACGTTATGCAAGCTCTTACATTGCATGAGCCCGGGCGCCGGTGAACATGCCAATCTCCAGCACCTGCATGGCCGGAAAACCAGGTTTGCAAGACATTCCCTAGGGATCCCAGTATACAAATAATACCAATAATGGAGAAGCAAATGGAAAAGAACATGGAAATGAAACGGAAACAGGGGTTCTGAAGGGGGCTATATAGTCCAAGTATACAAATGATACCTCTAGATCCTGTAAATATTACCTACACTATGCTATTTGGATCCTTAGGGATTGCTTCTAAGCGTGTTATTCCGGACTCGCGAAACACCGTTGAACTCCCTAGGCTCCTGAACGGATTCTGTCACTCATTGGGGTAATATTGGGGATTATATTGGGGTTATATTGGAATAATTGAAAAGGAAATGGAAACTACTAAGGGTTATAGTAGGATTATAAGGATAATATTGGGGTTATATTGGAATAATGGAAAAGAAAATGGAAACTATTAAGGGTTATATAAGGATTATAGGGATTATATTGAGTTATAGTGGAATAATTGAAAAGAAAATGGAAACTACTAAGGGCTATATAAGGATTATAGGGTTTATATTGGGGTTATATGGGAATAATTGAAAAGGAAATGGAAACTACTAAGGGTTATATAAGGATTCTAGGGATTATATTGGGGTTATATTGGCATAATTGAAAAGGAAATGGAAACTACTAAGGGCTATAAGGATTATAAGGATTATTTTGGGGTTATATTGGAATAATTGAAAAGGAAATGGAAACTACAAAGGGTTATATAAGGATTATAAGGATAATATTGGGGTTGTATTGGAATAATTGAAAAGAAAATGGAAACTAATAGGGGTTCTATAAGGATTATAGGGATTATATTGGGGTTATATTGGAATAATTGACAAGCAAATGGAAACTACTATTTAGGGTTTTGACATGTAGGTCCCCGGGCTCAGGTTTTCTCGTTCCAAGCTCCACAGTTGCCTGAAAATCTGCCTTTGATGACCCCCACGGCTCCAGTTACCTGGCCCTATAGTCCCCCTCAAGTAGATAGCATAGGTATATTCCATCTACTTGAGGGGGACTATAAATAATGGGCTCTAGGTTTGTTTCATAGCCCAGTAGCTGGGAGTTCTAGGGACTTTAATGCGGGTGAGAAGGTCAATGCGTGTCAATATCGAACATCTAAGTGGCTGGGTGTTGCTGTCTGCAAGGCTGGACGAAGGTCGACTGCCAAATGAGCTATGGTCTAAACTCCTAGTAACCCTTTAAAACCCGTATAAATAAGCCCTAAATCCCCCATACGACCCCCTTTGAGGCGCATTTAGACTATAGCTCAAATCATAACTGGAAACTCAAGTGGCAACCGTTGGCCGCCGGCCCGAAACTTCTTCAGTTCTCATCGCTGGACCATCTCCCTTCCCCCGACCCATATCCCCACCTGAGAGTCTCAAAATATATCCCTATAGAATCCTCAATAAAGGCCCTAGTAATTCACCTTTATTGTCTACATATCCTTGGGGTCCCTAGGGGCCCCCCATTTTGCGAACACCCTAAGTACTCTTCTGGTAAGCTTCCCCCCTCATCCATACCTTGCACCAGCTGAACTTGCCTGCTTGGGCTGCTTCATGAAGGTGAGCATCTTCACGAATTGCGCCTCCGTAGGGTCAGTGGACATCTCCTCTCCTTGGATTGTAGTTGAAAAAGATTTTGGTGGTAAGGCTCTTGGTGCCTGAGATTCTCGGGTAGTCGAGTTAAAGGTTTAGTCATCGACGAGCCAAGCAGACACAATCATCATAAATGTGTACTTTCGGGGAGGTTTAGGTTCTAATTTTCGCCTAAATCCTAGGCCTGGAACGTCAAAGCAACTCATGGTATTCGAGTGGTGCTGTCCTCGATTTCTTTGACAGGTATCATCCGTATCATTGTAGCATCCTCAGGCGTAGTTCGGTTCGCCAGATCTCTTTCACAAGGACCCTTTGGAAAGAGATCTGGGACAGCTGCTGCAGTCTTCATATGATCACTTTCAGGGGCCCAGGGTCATGCGCTCCCAACAACGTGGTTGGATTTCTCTTAGCAGCCTCAAGCTCCTAAAGATCAACGTTGCTTTACGTCTTGGTCGAATTGGTATGGCTGAAGCTGACGTACAAGGTCACAATTTGAAAATGTATCCTGAGCAGTCTCACACTTCCATGCACGATCTACCCTGGCACTTTTGCAGCTGTAGCTCCATAGGAGAACATGGTAGTTTTGGATTCAGCGAGTCCGGCCCAGTCCTTAGCAACATGGAAATTTCTCAGAACAGTCCCTATACTATCCCAAATATGGACCCCTGTCCATCTTGGCCCACGCCACTTCTCCGACTTAAACACAAACCAAATATGGATCCCTGCAATCCCTATGTCCCTAGGACCCACCCCCGTTGAGAAAGCCCCATATCGTCAGGCAGTACCCCAAAACTCGCCTGGCATCCCCGCAGGATGTAGAATAAGTTGGGAGCACGAAAGCGCAATATTTTCGCCGTCACATGAGCTACAGTCTAAACTCCTAGTATCCCCCTTAATTTTGGGTCCTTCCCCTACCCATTGAGAGTCTATATTCGGGGGTCATGTTAATTAAGGGCTATACATAGGGTTTTAAGTTTAGGGCGTAATGGGGGTACAATTAAGGGCTCTATATACTTCTATTATGAATATCACCCAGCTGTTAATGAGTGGGGGCAGTACCTACAGTAATTGCCATCCTTGGGTTAAAAGTGCATGAACAGCGGACGTTGCAGCCGCAAAAGTGCCTGGACATCTGACCTGACCTACCACACCACCAGGCATGTCCACTTAAAGATATTTGCGGCGCACCCTCCATGATGAGCCCTGTGAAAGGCTGGAATTCATCAGAGTTGGTACGTTAGCCACACCATGAACGCAATTTCATGTTGGCGGAATGGTGTTGCTTGGAGAAAGACTGTTGTGAGGATCCTTTCTGATGACCGGCGAGAAAAACTTGCTGCAAACCAGTCAAAAATACGAATTTCCCACAGGTCCGCGGCTATTGGGTCAAGCTATGTCAAGCTGTTTTGGCCTGGAAGGAAACGTTCAACGTCTGGAAGGTGACTGCAACAGGGCACGGCGCTGTGGCCGAGATGCTGGGAGGCTTGACTACAACAAACCATCTGCTAGGTTGCCCTTCTTAAGTACTTTAGCCGAAAGATAGAAGATCCACCCCACCAAATTACATGATCACACCCCTCATTCAACTGTACGACTCATGACGCAGGCAGAACTACACCTGGCTGTTCCGAGCATGGCAGCAAGCACTCATGCCATCGAAACAAGCATCAGCTATAGCAACTCAAGTAACAAAGACCGCAGCAGCACGCACGCAAAGCAATGATCACGGTAGGTCAAAGCGTCCGTTATCCCAATTTTCTGTCGAGGCGCTGTGTCTGCCATCTTCTCGCGGATTGCCGTCATGGCTGGGCCCTCAGCCGTGGAGTGATCTCGGACCTTAGCTGCACTGGTTCTGCTGTATAAGATGGTCCTCTACTGATTAACATAGAACCTTTTCCCCAGCCTAGGCGTGCGTGACTTTCGAGGCTCCAAGCACCCTCACGCGGAACCCCTGTGCTTGCTCCCCATTCCTGCACAGCCATCAAATCGTGCGAGCAGCGTAGGGGTCCAGCGAGCCGATCAGCATGTACATCTCCTGATGCTTTTTCGAGCTAGGATTCTCTTCCAAAATTGATAGGATCTCTAGTCCCCACGTAGCTTGGCTATTGGACTGTCAGTAAGTGTGGGGTTTGTGTGCACGGTTCTTTTTGCCATGCGGCAGGGTGCGGTGCGGGTGTTGGGTCCCAAAGATGTCTTGCCTGCTGTGTGGGGCTGGTTTCAAAACCATTTCGCCATGTGGGCTGGGCGCTGTTCAAGTGCCGCTAGACATCTGGGCTCTTTGCCGGTGCAACTGAATCGTATGTAGAGATCCCGAAGCAATCACTTAAAACCCAACATGCCCTGAAGCCACGGTGAGGGGTCAGGGGTTGCTTCGGGTCATTTAGGGTTCAGGATTATCTGATTGTCTCCTCACAGCAAGAATGAAACCCAAACGGCACGGCAGAGAGTAGTGCAAAAGGGCACCTTTCCAGGTTCTAAGTCTGTTTTTTTTAAGTAGACCTCAAACTCTGAAAGCCGTCTTCCTTGCAATGATTTCAGAAGTCGAGACTGCAAACTGCTTGCGCTGCCCTGTTCTGCAATGCTGCAAGCTCCCTATTCGATCGTCTCCGATGCGAGCCTTCGCCAAACCCTCGATGCGCTCAGAGAAGATTGACCACTTTGCGGCGCTGCGACCCCTGCAA